TGTACTCCCTTTACTGAAACACTCTGCAGGGAGCCATTCTTCAACAGTCAACTGCACCATGTCATCTGACAAAAGCCTCAGCAGCTAAAAGGTGGTGCTGACAGAAAGAGCATTTGCTCCTGTAGTGTGCACTCACTTCTTAGGTGATACAGATTCTTCCAACATGGTTGATTCCTCATCACCTTCAAGCCCAAATCTATCTTTACTTTGTTTCTGGAGGGGAGAAAAAAATTAAGTTAGACGACGTGTGTTGGTTTTTGCCTTCTCTCCATCATTTCCCTTGCCGTTTAGCACAGACCAAGTCAAACACTCTGCAGAGCCATGGCTGGTGCTCAACACCATGCTCTGGGGCACTGAGTGTCAATATAAGCTCCACTCCAGGAACAGACCAGGTTCCATGCCCTGGCAGACTAAGCACATAAAGAAAAAAGGCTCCTGGTACCTTTTTGAACAAAGGTATAAGGCAAGTGCTGAGATATTCTTTTCTCACAGAGAAAAAACGTTCTGAGCACCAAGTGATGTGCAACAGCAGCAAATACTGGCACAGACAAGACATGCACCATCTTCCCACTCTCTTCTAACTCACAAACAGGTTGACTCAGGTGCTACAAGTCATACAACCAAAACCCCAAAGGAGTGGAGTGGAAATTCCCACATCTGTATTCTATGGAGACAAAGCTGCTTTCACTTGGCATCCGAGAGCAAAGCTACTCTAGAGTCAAGCTCTAACCCATCCATAAGAGCTGCAGTTTATTTGATGCTGATTAAACCCGAGAGCCCCAGAGGAAAGGGCATGCACAGAGATGAGTTCTGGCATCCTCCTCAACCTCTGCTTACGTAACACTTGGTTTCTGATCCTGCACTCATCCACGTGAACAAGGCAATTAATTCTTCTGGGCTACTTAGCTTTGTCATTTCTTTGCTATCAAAATCCATTACTGTAAAAGTGATGTAGCTTTAATAACAGTAAAAATTTGCCAGGAAGCAATCAGTGCTGTTTGAAACATCTCACTTTCCTAGACAATATGCTCAGAATATGACCCTTCAGCTCCATGTTTGTGGGCAAACCTGGTATTTTTTGCTGTTCTGCTTGTTTCCCTGAGAATGTTTTGAAAGAAAGTCAAGTCCAGGAGGGCTGCACTGAGCCCAACCCATGCTAGTGATGCATCAGAAGCACTGACCTACTCACAGGTAAAGATAAGTAACAGCAAAACACAACTTACAACACTGACTTCATGAGAGGAAGAACTGCAGCCTGCACATGTCTGAGGCTTTGCACTGCATACAGTGATTTTTATGGCTTTTGCACTCAGATGTTAATACTGTACCTTCTTTAGAATGATATCAATGTAACCTGCAATTAACTGAGAGATCTGTTCTCCTTCAGTGGTCTGTACAGAGTAATAGCTTTCCTGATATTCACCAAAATCCTGAAGGGAAAAAAAAACAAACAAAACCTCTTTGAAAAGGCAAAGTAAATAAATGAAGAAACAGTACCAAATACGAGTGAGAGAAATCAAATTTTTAAATTGTTTGCATAGACATTTTATTATATCTAACAGTAAATTAAACTGCTTCAAGATTCTAAACCAGCCTATGTGGGGGGTGAGGGAGGAGAGAAGAACACTTTTTATTTCAGCTTCATCACAGACATTTCACAAATTGAAATGCCCAAGAGACACTTAGTCTAACTTGATCAGACTCAGTCGCTTAAGAACGGAGAAAAGTCTTTAGAACGTAATCCTAGAGCACAACCATCCGTGCAGTTGGAAATCAGATGCACATGAATCAAGTGAATGTCATTTTCCAGCCTCTGCCTCTTGCTCTACCATGTTAAACAACCCTGTCAAATCCAAAACCAATGCTGCAGAGGTCTCCCAAGGACTACATGACTAACAAACCATCCCATCCATGAAAGTTATTACCAGAGTGTGAAGGAACCATCTGACCTTGTTGGTGTTCGTATCTTGCGAGTCACAAGTGTCCTGGGAGTACCAAGCACCACTAAGGTTTACCCAGGTGCAAACAATAATGTTTTGTTAACTGCTGCAGCAGTTAGGCACAAACCAGATTTGAACAGCACCTCTGGGGAACTGGTCTGTGTAGAGGCATCAAGCTGCAGATCGACCCTAGACACCAGGATGGGCTGATTTATCACCTGAGGACTCAGACTCTGCACAATGCTAGATCAGTGACACTACACAATCTGCTCTAAGTCCATCTTTCCTGTTCTCCTGGCCACACAGCCCCCTGTCCCTCTGCCCATCCCCAGATTACCAGAGTGAAGCTCTTTGGCGAGGCAGCCCAGCGTTTCACCGTGGTCAGTGGCCACTCCTGCAGCACCTCCTTGGTCTTCTCGTCCACGCGCATCACCGAGTCCTTGGTGACGCCCAGCAAACGAGGAACCAGCTTGTTCTTGCCTTTCATTTTTTCCTGGGGGAAAGATTGTTTCCCACTCAAATGTAGCTTGCCACAGGAGAAAGGGAAAGCAAGATGCAATGTACTGACAAAGGGAAGCAACTCACATGCTCACAACGACAACTTCAAACTCAGGTTTAGTTTGTCTGGACACAGACAAGGATTTTCAAGCAAGGCATTAAGCAGCTCATGTCTTTACTGCATCTTACTACTCAGCTCAGAAGAGAGTGGCTTCTCACTCACCAGGGAACTGAAATATTTCAGTCATAGCTCAGTCATAACAAAGCTCTGCTTAGTGAGGAATGTGAGGAGAGACACAACCAAAGACAGAGTTTGGTCACAGCAGTATCTGCATTACCTTCACAAGGAAAAAGGACACTCCATAGGTCCTCAGGGAACGGGCCAGCTTCACATACTTGACTTTGGCTTCGATTTCAGTCATCTCACCACAGTTCTTGTGCTCCTGTAACGAGAGCTCAGCATCACTTAGGCAGAATCAATGCCCTCCAAGAACAAACAAAAGGGTATAGCTTTTAACTGCTTCAGAATGCTTCGTTAATAATCATTACAATAGAGTATTTGAAAAAATACTGGCTAGAAATGTTAGCAAGACTACCACAATTTCTCACACAGGAGACCATAAACCACCTGTGCAAACACAACACTCCCTGACAATCAGCCACTCAATCCAGGCCTCAGATCGAGCACATTTAAACCATTTCTGACACTTTCAAATTCTAGGTATTCCTGCCATGTGACACCATTAGGTTTCATACAACTAATGCCTCTTCACTCAGCTTTTTTAAATAACTTAAGTGTCCCAGAACCCTTATTTTTTTCCCAGAAACAGACTATTCCTGCTTTCTGCCCAAAACTCTGACTCATGAGAGCCTCACACCTTGTACTTGACCATTTCTCATCTCTTGTAGATGTTCCAATGGGCCTTTTTTTTGCCACTTGCCTCATTATCCACATTTTTTTCCATCACATGAAAAGAATTCTACAGCTGAGGAAGAAACAATGATTTTTCAAAATAGTTTATCCTGAAACACTAATCTAGATGAGTCTTGTAACTCAGTCTCTATTTAAATAGTTTACTCATTAGTAAACTTGATTACATACTCAAACCTCACCTCAGTATCTGCTCTCCTGTCCCAGATCATTCTGCTGAAAATCATATCCCAACATCTCATGACTTAACTGCAGTTTGTGGGATTCCCTGTCCCATCCCTCACGTGCTCCAGAAGCACCCGATGGCAGCAGGAGGAGCACCAAGAACACGGGAAACCTCCTGCTCCAGGGAACTGACCACCGTGACTGCTCAGTCTTTCTCAGCTGTGCAATTCCAGACACATCACTGAATTCAAGCATTAACTAGCAGAACTTGAGGCATGAAATGACAACTGGCTTTCCTAAACGTGTGTCTGTTCAGCCAAATATGTACCTGTACATTTCAATGCAACTGACAAAAAGATCTTAAAAATACTGAATATTCACTCTCTCCCTTGACCAAAGTGTACTGGATTATCATCAGGGAAGAAAAAAGGATCAGTTTGCTGAAGAAATAAAATAGCTATCAGATCCTTTACACCTGATTTTCTGATGGTTATACAATTCAACCATACACTGAGTATACTCCTGGGAAAGCTCATATTTCTCTTATAAAGGCACTGAAACTATACTAGGTATTTCAGCCTCACAATTACCTGAAATATTCTCTTTTCAGCCCCTCTTTGTTTGGTATATTCTTTAGGCAGAAATTCTTTTAGGCTAGGAAAAAAACAAAAGAAAGAAATTCCACAGTTAATGGTGCCTTCTTGAGGGATGTTTCCGTGTTGCTTTATTGGCATTGAGTGCCCTGAGCTTCCTAAAATGGGCATAAACTACCTACACAATGAAACAAAACTCTAAGGAGAGTGAGAGCAAGAGGTTACCTTGCATAACTAAGAAAAGCTCTTTAGTTACATTCGTATACATGCAATACTTGGTCATGTTTTGAAAAATCATCAGCCATAAACAAAGGCTGAGACACTTTACATTCTTAAACTCTGTGATGTCTCCCCACAGCTCAGAGGGGCTCACACCTAAATCCATGCACAGTTATGGTCATCTGGGAGAAGGAGGAGACATGGAAGCTTGAGCCAGCTCTGTCCCAGTTCAGACATTGCTGTGACCTCCCAGCACCATTTGGATGTAGTGACTAACATGCAGGATTGAGCTCTTTCTCAGTGTCTTCCAGCAAGTGTTAGAATACAAATGTTAAATGGCTTTCTAGTTTTGCAGTACATTTGAACACTTAATACCAGTGTGTTTTCTCAAGAACACAGCAAAATAGAACCATGTGTAATTCCTGCAACACCCAGACACCAAGGCACTAGGAATGCAAACAGTGCAGCCCAGACCAAGGCTAACGAAGGAAGCTGAGCTGGCACTGAGCACTCAGCCAGCAGCACAGCAACAACATACACCCACTGCTCTCTGCCTCCAGCTAAGGCAACTCTGAGCCTCATATGCAGGCAAGGCTTGATGGACTGGGTGGTCAGTAGCTTTCTGTTACCTTCCTATGTTCCTGTGCTCAGACTTCAGCCCTCGGTTAGTGCTACTGCAGGCAAACTAATCAGAAAACCAAAATCAGTAGAAAAATTGGACACCTAAATTTCAGTCAAGCTAAACTGCCCTGCAGACAGCACTGAAGTACCACAACAGAGCTTAAAGGATGGGCCACTTGTAAGCAGGACTTCTGTCCAGGTCTGAACCAAAGCACTGTTCTAGCTTTCCATTCACACAACACTATGAGAGGGAGAGGTTGCAATGCCACGAAGAAGTTTGGAAGATTTAACCCTACACACAACAGTATTCCCTTTATTCCAGTGACAAAGCATCTTTCTGTTCCTGTACTTCCCCAGTAGATCAAACATCTGTGATATATACTGATGCATGCTTACTTCACACATGGCTCTGCTAAATGCAGACAGAAGCAGAGTTCCAAGGAGGAGCAAAACCTCAGCTCCCCCAGAGCAGCTGGAGAACCCAGCTGTGTTTAACTGGCACCCTGGGAGGAGCTGGTGCCCTGTGCTGCCTGATGAACCACTGCCAAAGGTCTCCTCAGCAGCTGAGACTGCTGGTTTGTGCAATGAGGTTCCTTTCACAGGGAGATTTGCTACAGAAAGCACACTGAATCTGATTACCTCTGCTTGGAGTAATTAAATGTGTTTACTCTGTGACAACTCAACATTAGTTACGCTTGAGGTCACCCGAATTTAGAAGTTAGAAGTGTTTACTCTAAAAATCCAGGTTTGTGTTTGTGTTCTACATGAGGTCCAAACTGGATCTGTGCTTGAAAGCCTCCAAACTCACAGGCCTTCTCAAAGGAGACAGGGTGGGAACCATTCAGAATGTCATCACGAGCCTAGAGGAGAAACACAGAGAAATGTCAGGGACATCCAAAATCATAATCCATCTCTGAGATTCCTTGACAGCTTGTACAGCCCAAGCTGTTTGTATCTGCAGCAACACAAACATTCTCTCAATGTCTGTATTATTCCATTCTGGGTGTGTTTATGGCTAATAAAATAAAGAAAGATTATTTCATGGTGAGTATCAGCCAGTGGAGCTTTGGCTGAGTGCCCATTATTGGGTTCAAAGTATGTGATTAGAAAGAATCAGCAAAGCCTCTGTAGTGTGATGGTTTTTTTGGAAGGACAGACAAAGCAGCAAAACAAAAGCACATCCAAAACTGGAACTCCAGCAGATGAGTATTTCAGCAGCACCACTTTTCCAATGAACCCGCACAGGTTTCCTGGGACACGGAGGCAGAAGGTACCGACCTGAACATAGAGCAGGTTGAGCTGCACAGGATCCCTGGAATCCACATTCTGGTCCGAGTAGAAGAACTTTCTCCTGAGCAGGAGCGTCTCGCTCTCGTCCACGCCCTGCTCCCGGAACGTGCGGCTGTGGTCCAGCCAGTTCACTGCAACGAGCACCAGACACGGCCCCTGGCACCTCACACACCAAACACTGCCTCACTCCTCAGCAACCCTCCAGCACACCTAACATCTGCGGCCCCAGAGACATCACCCCCTGGGACAGCTCTCAGCAGGCACCAACACTTAAACACTCAGCTATGCTGAGGAGACAGAAATGCCCCTTCACACTCAGGCTGGAACAGCCCTCCCGCAAAAGGAGCACTCAGAGCACCCTCTGAGTCCCAGTGAGGCACCAACTCGCCCATTTACCCAGTCTAAAAACACTCACAGACAACACTGTGCATGAAAGGATGTAACACACAGCTAGGAACCAACTGAGCCACACTGAGTAACCTCCCAGCACATTCCTGTAGAGTTCTCCTGCACCACACTGTGGGAAGACACCAACCAAAGAACTGTCCTGGAACACACTACTCACGATCATCATCCGTGTGCAGCTTGGCCTTCAGTTTTTCCATTTTCCTTTCATCACGTAGCAGTGTCCTGTCTTTCTTAAGTGTTCCTGTGCTCTCCTCTTTCTTCTCCTCGACGCTCTCCTGGATTAAGGAATATTCCTCATAATTGGTTATCCCTGGAATTATAAATAAATCCACTGCTTGTAACATTAAAAGTTTAATACATTTTAGGATGGATGAAAATTTTTTTTCCACACATTAAAATACCAGTGGTTAATTCCAAATATAGCCAAGATATGCCAGATGAAATGCTAAAAAAGTATATGGGGAATGGGAGGAATACTCCACAACTTGGACCTCGCCAATGCCTGGCCCTGTCCTTCCCATACACCATCCCTTGGTCCTATGCTGCATTTGCCACCTACAGAAAGGTAATTATGCTATCATTTGTTGTCTGCCAAGAGAAGCTGCCTATTTAAAAATGTGATGGAATTCAAAATAGCAGCAAATTCCAAAATGGAGACATGCTCTGGTAAACTTCCATTCCTGATGCCTCCAACCGCTTTCCGAGGACTGAGCAATTCCAGCTTGCCCACGAGGTGTAAAAGAGATGTGGCAGAGTTGACTGAGGAACACAAACCATGAGCAATATGATTTCCTCAAAAATGCTGAAACTCAACTCTTCCCGTGAATTTTACACGAAACTGAACCAAAAATCAGTTGACAACACTTAACACATGTGCCAAGCTGCTCTCATTGCTCTGCATGGTACAGCATGTTTATGTGACACCAGCTCACCTACATCACCACACTGATGATAATAAGGCAAAGCAATTTTTGAGGTAGATTAGTTACAGCACATTGGAATCCAACATAGAAACACAGAATTGAAATAGATAATTCACTTTCCAAGAAAAGTCACCTAAACCAAATTAAGGCCACCAGAACTCTAACTGAGGTTTGAGCAAGGGTTTAAGGCGATGCAAGCCTATATTATTAGCTATGGAGGAGTCCTCAAAAATGTCTCCAGTTAATAGTGAGCCAGACTATAACTGACAACACATTCCTGACCAGCTGCTCTGGATGGCTCCCATGTGTTGTTCCACAAATGAGAGCCCTGTGACCAAGCAGAACAGAGCCCTGTGTCTAGGTATATTGCAAGGTCAGTAGGATTTAGCTTATACAATTAAAACTGAGTATATATGTAGCTCTAACCCTCTACCACAGAGCAGGAAGCACATGTAAATGCACCATGTAAGAAAAAATTGGTAACTGTACTGACACATAACTTTGTGCCTTTAGCTGCTGAATACTGAAGTTTGAGGATGCTCCTCAGAAACTTAGATAAAACCTGCACAAAGAGCTCAGAAAGTGATTGGCAAATAGGAACTTTTGACAAATTTAGATTTTTAATACATGTGCCAACTCCTAGCCAGCAATACACATAACATGCTAATAATCAAAACTGAATATGGCAGGAAAACAAACTCTTGAGAACGTGGGGTGCAAAATCTTACCTATCCTGCTGCAAATGGTAACCAGCAATTCACCAACTGTTTTAGAATCATCCACCATCACTGTTTTCACTGAACCATCCAACATACGTATTTTTTGAGGTCTCTGTTTCTTTTTATACTCCAATATATCCTAGGAAGTAAACACAACTGTTTCTAAATGCTTTTGGAAGGCACCACAAGCCAATCCACTGCCTTAGATGCCTGTAACAGGATTCCCTTCCCAACCTCCAGGCAGGAGTTTTCCTTGGTTACAGTACAGACAAACATTCATTTAACAAACTTGAGAAGTGACTACATTTAGTTAAGCCAATGTCACTTCCAAAGAACTTGTCCTAACTGGCAAGACCAAAACCTAGTCAGGATAGAGCAAAGGACCTCTGTGGTGCAGAAAGGACTGCAGTGCCCTTTGGTTGTGAGCAAGTTGGCCAAAACGTGAGCAAGTATGACATGATCTAAAGTATACACAAAACAACTCTGTAACACAAGGTCACCTCAAATATAAAGCTTATAACAAAAGTTATTTTTCAACTTTCTGTTAATCATTCTACAAAGACACTATTGACCAGGGTAGTTCACAGCCACAACCAGATGCAGGAAAAATCTAACACGTGAGGCAGGGCAAGGGAGAGAAGCAGGTCAGTGTGAGGAGCAGACTCCAGACCCTCCCAGCCCCCAAATGCTAGATATTCTTCTTCCTACTAAGGAAACAAGTTTCCTAAGAAGATGGTGATGAAAGAAGCAACAGAGCTGCACCATACCCCATTTCTCAGCATGTAATAATCCAGTGTTCTTCCAGCCTCCAGCCATATACCTTTCCGAGGGTCGTCGTCTGACAAGAACAATCCATAGTCAGAGGCTGTGGAACAGAAGAGACACAGACTCACTGGAAAATATCAAACCTAACAGAGGCAACATTTTAGTCAAGGCTGCTCAGCTTCAGGGTCAAGCCTCCATTACACTTACCTTCCATTCTTAATGGACTTGGAAAGAAGCTTTTTCTCTGTGCTATGTTTAGCAGCACTAGGAAGGTAGTCAGGCCTCGGAGAGGACATGAACTAAAGCTTCACTCAGCAAGAACACATCACATCTACTGTGTATTGTACTTGCAGTTACCTGTCTTTGAGACAACCTGTCACAGAGGCTCACAGGTGTGCTTTGGAACTGCCTAGCCAAAAGCACAAGCAGTTTGGCCTTAACCACTATTTCAACCAGCAGTGCTATTTTCAAAATACAGTTTGCTTTCGACCCTCCACATCATGAGTTTACCAGAAACTTGGGAATCTTTTTGGCAGATGATTCAGGCTTAGGTATTTTTAAAAATACAAGGCTTCTAGAATTACATCTACAGTAAACTGAGGCAAAACTTGCACCTAGTGTAGGCTAAGCACATGTCAGTGGACTCTTTAGGAAACAGCAGTAGATGATAAATCCTTCAGTGCTGCAGACAAACAAACCCAGGCTTAGGCTTTGAGGGCTAACGTCCTGGTATACAAAATGAAGGACCATGACTGTCAACTTAGGGCTGCCACATGCATCAGGAACTGATACAGATTGTGCTTCAGAACCCCAAGCAACTGCTCATCAGCTGAGCCTGTTTGCAGCTCTCCAGCTGACGTGAACCTTTTCCTCCCCAGCTGGACAGTGTTGTGTGTGCACAGTCTGCTACCTACCTGGTCTGCTTTCCTGCCCTGTGCTAGGACCCTCTAATCACAAAGTCAGGGAAAAATAGCTACAATTTCTGGATGATATTTCATCTTTAAATGTTAAGCTTAACAACAACTTACATTAACAGCATTTACCTTACACAAATCCTTCCAAAAACAACTGAATAAGAAAGAAAACTTTCTCTGCCAAACCAAATTCCCCTGAAAAGTCAGGTGATCTGTACATACAGAGATGTTTATTATAAATTCAGTACAGAATCACCCACACAAAACTTTAGATTGTGTGCCCATAAATAAGTTGGGGCCTTGAGAAGCACAGAAGTGTCGTGCACAGGGCAGAGAACCCCCAAGTAAGCAGAGGCTGCTCTGACACCATCTCGGGGCTGTCCCCTCCTGATGACACAGCAGCAGCTCTGCAGCTCACACAGCTGTGCTGGCAAGCAGGCTCGACAGCAAATACCTGCTACTCACAGATACAAGTCTGTGAGTAGCTCTTTTCCAGGCTTTTCTCAACATCAGCTCCTGCTGGGCAAGAACTAGTGTTATCAGCTGCACTGCACCACTGAAGAAGGGAAAACCTCTGCCAGGATGGGAGGAGGAGAAACAACTCGGGTACCTGCTGTCACTTAAAAAAAAATCTGCTTGCACGTGTTGCCTTCACTCCAGAGCCTTACCACTTAAATAAACACCAACAAACCTCCAACCTAGAGATAAATGGAGGAAGAGGAGAGTGTGAAGAAACCCCCATGGGCTCACGTTCGCTTTCCATTAGCCAAGCAGTTGGTAACAGACAAACACAAGAACTCACCCTGCCCTGTCTGAGCCTCTGGCACCCGCTCACGGATCACTCTGCAGGCATCATACACTGCAGTGGATGGCTCAAACTGCATCGTCTTCACCACGTTGCACTGACGGACACAGATCTTCAGCGAAAGAGCTACCATGGTGTCAAGACACTTGCAAGGTCCTACTAAAGCACCTGAAAAAGTAGTAAGGGCATGAGAGTTTTTCATTTAGTGCTTTAAAAATACTCAACTTTTCATTAAAGAATTGAAATTAGTTCAGCAGAATTATCTTTGCTCAAACGCAGTTCTGTATAAAGCCTCAGGATATCAAGGTAGAAACGATGCAAAACATGTATTTCTCTTGGTATACTGGAAATTCATTTTCCAAAAACTTGTGCATACGAACACTGACACTTTGTCCCAGGTGCACAGGAAAACAAGATACTTATTTGGATATTGCCAACATATTTAGTGTTAACAGAAAACTACTTTGCTCTCACCACATGTTTTTATTTGACCATTTATATTAGCTGGTAACTAACAGCTTAGAGGAATAGCAAAAGTAGGATTTTCTCAGTCTGGAGCTTTTCCTTCCTGAAGATTCCACAGTGTGCAATACAGTGTTGTGGTTTTTCTTGTGTCCCCACATAGACCCCCTAGATGTTTTCAGCCTGTTGCACAGCTACACAAAGCTTCAATAATGAGCGAATTTTCATTTCAGTTCTGGTTCAGAAACTACACCAAATCTGACAGCATTTTTCTGCAGTAACATGAAGCTACAGATGCTTTTTTGTATTGTTTCATTTTGTAGATAGTCTGGGTTTTGTCTTAAGTGTCTTCCCTTGCTGTCATAAAACTCCAAACCACTCCTCCATCATTAGACTTTCCACAGGGAGCTCCAAGAACTCCTCAGAACTTAAGTCCTTTCTGCATAAATACAGAATCTACTAGAGGTCCCAAATAATTTCTGCATACATTTATGTCTGTGTTTTCAAACAGGAGGATGTGAGATGCTGACACCGACAGTAATCTCAGCAGGACAAAGTCCAGTAGCTAGAAAACCAGCCAAACCCCAGTTGTGCATCTTTTCAGAGCCAAGATACTCAGCACCACTCAGCAAAACCACTCTGAGGAGTAGGTAGGAGTGACCGTTTCATTCCATGGACACAGGGCAGCACTGACAAACTTAATGCAATTTTTCAAGTTGGGAACCTGTTACTGTGTCCTCTAGTGCCCCTCCCTTTTTCTCAGAATCAAATTCAGCTCCCTAAAGAAAGAAGGGCCTAAATTCATCAGTGATCTGGGCTCCAGCTCGGCGCTCTGGGTTCCAGAGACACCAGGGGATGCTTTCTCTGAAAAAGAGCTCATGCCTTACCAGCTTCCTCCAGCACTGTTCTCAGACTCAAGAGAAAGGTTTTCATTTGCCTCCTCCACATTACCCTCAGGCTCTAAAGCTTCCCCACTCGGTTCTCAGCAATAAATGGGACAGGCAGTTTCCATCTCCTGGGTAACAGCCAAAACAGGACAGCTGTTTTTTCTCAAAAGAACTAAGAAATTGGTCAAGAAAAAAGGCTGAGATCACAGAGAAAAACAAGTGGAAAATATCTTCCACATTCCCTTTATCTTCTATACATTGATTCACACCAGACTGAAATATTTCTCTGTGCAAGTAATGGACTCTTCCTGCTCCACAAACCCACTCAGTCTCTGGAACAGCTGACCAAAATTCAAAAGGAGCCTGGAAATCAAGAGCATTTAAGATGAAATGATTTGCTGGTACTGCCTAATTCTCTGCGAGTAATGAAGTAGAAAATTTCTAAATCAGACTGTGACTGATCTGTGCTGGTAAGGCTGGAGACTGGAGTAATACACTATGGATCTGACAGGTTTGGGAGAGAGCAGCAGCTCTGAACTCCTAAAAAAGCCACAGATGATGACAGAGAGCCCAGTGCCCGCAGGCACCTACCAGAGCATGCACATCAAGGCCTGGGCTGAGGTTCTGGGGAATCCTAAAGAAACAGAGCCAAAGCCACTGCTTGAGTGGAAACGAGCAGGGCTCAGTGAGCCTGGAGATCCCTGTCCAACAGAGCAAACTGGCACAGACACTTCAAACCTGCAGGACAGTAGCCAGCAGAGCAAGACCTAAGTTAGTAAGAACAGAGAACTATCCCACACCTAGGACTGCCAGGGCCGGGTGAGACTCATTGCTTCGTACCACACTGTACCTCTGGCTTCATCAGTCCTAAAAGTCATCTCTACACACTGTCTGGACTACCACAGGAAGTGAATAGATGGATTTACTCTCCAGCTTCATTCTTCCACACAGCTTGGCTGTCTTCTGTTGCTCTCCTCTCAGACAGGCACTCGCAGGCCGAGTGCCGTTCAGAGGGGCACAGCCTCCTGCACTCCTGGCACTGCCACCCTGCCAGCACTCAGCTGGGGCACCACCAGGACACCACATCTTGGGACTGCTGGAGTGACTACACCACACTCTGAAACCAGCAAAGGGTGGGGAGATGAACCCCAGAGGTCAGTAATGCCAAACCATGCTCTCAGACAGGCACTCGCAGGCCGAGTGCCGTTCAGAGGGGCACAGCCTCCTGCACTCCTGGCACTGCCACCCTGCCAGCACTCAGCTGGGGCACCACCAGGACACCACATCTTGGGACTGCTGGAGTGACTACACCACACTCTGAAACCAGCAAAGGGTGGGGAGATGAACCCCAGAGGTCAGTAATGCCAAACCATGTCCACGGAACAATTTAGGACACACCCTGCTTTTTCCACTTATTTTTTAAAAAAAGAGGTTTCACTTTGCTTACCATCTGGTCAAACATGGGTTTGGCTCTGCTGTTTCAAAAACTAATATGGCTCTTAGCTAAACTAAGCAAGGTTAGGATTTTCTTCTCAGAGAACTACTAACCAATCTAGTGAAGACTGAAATTCAGCCTGCACTGACACGGGAGTCACCTTACCCAAGTCACATAAGGGCAAGTTTTCTTGAACATCAAGTTTCATGACTTAATTTCTGAACTACCCGATGCAGGAAAAAGACTGAACATTGCAGAGAGACAAAACCCAGTTTCTCTGGACATTTTCTGTGTTAGCAAATTCCAAATAAACACATGTCATTAACTCTTGAAAAGCTTTCTGATTAGTGAGGTTTCTGCAGACAATCACACAACACCTAGAGCAGACGGAAAGAATTTCCTGAAATTTTAGCTTTGGTTTTCCTTGAGCTCCTTAGGACTCACATTTTTTATTGACAGTGACTTGTGGCTACTTTGGGCTCCTCCTGGGACGATGTCCCGTCAGGTAACCGAGATCCCACGTGAGGACATCACTGGATATCCTGCTCACACGTTTGTTCTCCTACCACTACATACACAGCACTCAGCAGCAGTGGAGGGAAACCACTGTGGACGTTGAGAGATTCATTTGTGAATCAGGTCAGCATGAATGAACTGGAAGTGTTTCTTGGGGCAGAACCTACTTTCCCAGCCAAGAAACCAAGAACATTCCTCAATCACCTGTTTGGTCTGATTAGCAAGAAGTTCCCAAGGCTGCTCAATCAGTTGCACAGTCCTACACAAATTAATCTAAGTATAGAGAGATGAAATGTTCTTGTAATTTCTAAAATAAAGAGCCAATGAGTATCTTTAGCCATGTTATTTGATGACACGACTGGTAACGTGATCTCAGCACCATCAACACCACCACCAGTGACATGAGGAAGGCAGAGACACTGCAAAACAGGAGTTAAATTCAGTATCTCTGAAAAACACTGTTGCTAACCATTCAGCCTTCTCTTAACACATGCATCTATGAGGAGATGCTCAGCCTAAGTAACTACTTACCCTTCAGTGACTGTCCTTCATTTAACCTTGTGCTTAGACACTCCTGATATAAACTGACATGCTGCTGTAATTACAGGCTGCTTTGAGAGTTCACTAAAGACATTTTTAAACCATTGAGAATAGCACAGCAAAATTCCATCAGGGACCTTTTAGCATTACAGGCACCATTTCCAGAGAGCAGTCAGAGCAAGACACATTTCCAACAGTAATGTGCACAAGGTCAAGGCAACTTCAACAGATTAAGAGAGGGAGAGAGACCTATCAACATTCTGCCCAAAGCCAGTTCTGCTGCTTTGTGACATTCTCTTCTGAGAGCATTACTGTACAGAAATGGTAATGTATCTGTGAAGTTACTCTAGAAATGATTTTTCCATGTTCTTTCTGCCACCTCTCTTACATGTATTAAAATGAAACTGCTAAGTCATCTTCTCAGTTATTTGTTCTAACACCAATGAAAGGCAAGGCCCTTTTTCCTGAGCTTAGAGAACTCATTCATTACATGATCATACTCCCACCTCTCCCTGGAAACTGTTTAAAAACAGTGTCTGTAATGGTCAGGTTAACCTCCAGCCTGCTAATTGCACTATTTACTTGGTGCACCACATTTATTTTCCAACTTGTTTTCTCTGTTTACTAACACAGCCACGGCTGTATATATTTCACACATTCTCTAAAGAAAATTTGACACTTATATAAACAAGCAGCAGATTAAAGCTTTTAAATTACTGAAAGAGGTTTGATGTCATTATATGCATAACAGAAAATTGAACAGGTCCTTACCTCAAAATTAAACTTCATTTGATAGAAAATAAGGCTGTCTGACACGTGAGAAGCTTCCAAGAACCAGGTCTGCAACACAAGACACAAACAAGTTACTTTCTCATTCCCAGTCCATCAATTTCTATTGTTCAAGTACCTTCTCTGCTGACACACTGGAAAGGAAACAACTCAGGAAGTTGTAAGTTTCCTTTTCTCTTTGGGAGTCAGGGTTTGCACTGCCAAAATGAACAGCTTTGTGTTCAAGAAAATAAAATTCAATCTCGGCTTCCAAATTACTCACTTAAAAGCTCACAGTACATGAACTCTGGTCGGCTTCCAAATTACTCACTTAAAAGCCCACAGTAAATGAACTCTGTGTGTTTACAGGTAAATACTTGGACACTGCCCAGTCAATTATGCAAACACCTGCAGCACAGTCTGGGTGTCAACCCAAGTGAAACAGCACATGGACCTCTCAAAGCTGCCTGTTCTGCATTATCTGTGCTTCCTCCTGGTTTACAGTCCCCGTGTGGAGTAAGAGGC